ATCTGATCGGTCTAGTGGAGGTAATTGGCAGCAGGCGGTCTCTCAAGTACCCAGGTCCAGATGACCTCCTCCTCTCCCCCCCCAAATCCTCTTCCCTTCTAGCACTGATGATATTCCCAAGTTGGGTCATGAAACATCTGCAAGAAAACCACAAAGGTTGGAGACCATCAAGGACCCCACAGTTCACTCTTGAGCTACAAATACATATTCTCTTCTATCAGTAACATCTGTTTTCTTTCACCATTCACTCAACGGGCTTGGCTTCCATGCTCTTCCCCATTTTGGTCCCTCTTCTCTGAACCCGCTCCGGTTTCTTTACCATTTTTTGTAAATATAAGTAGACAAAGTCCTCCAAGAACAGTCCAAGAATCCAAGGAAACAATGACTTGCTGTGATCTGGGAGCAATTCCTCTTTAATGGCAATGGAAGAAGACACGGTGAACATCTAACGTCTAATGTTACTTCTCAATTATTAATCCTGAAAGTGGAAAGTATTAGCTGGTATATACTCAACTTGGAGTGAGGGAGCTCTGGCTCCAAAGAGCTTGATGTCTTATTCCACATTCCATCACCCCTCACTCTTAGCCACGCTGGCTTGGACTCCTCGGAGATCTAATTCAGCAACATCTGGCAGACCACAGGGCTCCTGTAGTTGGGCTGCAGAAAGCCCAGACAATCAAGAGGCACCAACAAAGAGGTAACGGGTTTGTTTCAAGTTGCCATTGCTTGGTGGCTATCCAAAGATTAGCAGCTTATGGGGTGCGTGGATATTGCGTCACCTGCATGTGGAGAACTTTAGAGGCCCTTTGGGAGGCTTTGCAGGTCCCCCCCCCCCTCAGTAGCCTCTGAATGGCAGGACCTGGGCTCAACTTGCAGAAATGGGAGCCCTGCGACTGTTCTTGCTGAAAGTAGGTGGTGAGGAGAAGATGTAAGTGGCTGCGCAACCACTTTTCTTACAGGGGGGCTTCTCAACCGTGGCAACTTGAAGCTGTGTGGACTTCAGGATGCCCAGGTTGAGAATCACCACTGAGGCTTTCCCAGGACCACCCGCTGATAAACAGGCCTTCTTTTCATTTGTCAAAAGAGAAACCAGCAACGGGTGGGAACTAATCAAGGAGAGAAGCAATCTAGAACTAAGGAGGAATTTCCTGACGGTGAGAACGATCAGCCGGTGGAGCAGCTTCCCTCCAGAAGTTGTGGGGGCTCCGTCACTGGAGAGACTGGACAGTCCACCTGTCTGAAATGGTCTCTGGTCTCCTGCCTGAGCAGGGGTTGGACTAAAACAGTGTTTCTCAACCTTGGCAACTTGAAGATGTCCGGACTTCAACTCCCAGAATTCCCCAGCCAGCATTTGCTGGCTGGGGAATTCT